GAAAAAGGTCAGTCCATGTATGTACAGTCAGCCCCCGAAAAAGGTCAGTCCATGTATGTACAGTCAGCCCCCGTTGAGCCAACCGTGGATCGACACCATTCAAGGAAAAAACACTATAAAAATAACAAAACAACAACAAAAATATAAATAAAAAACAATACAGTGTAGCAACTATTTCCGTAGCATTTATGTTGTATTAGGTGTTAGAAGTATTCTAGAGATGATTCAAAGTATACAGGAGGATGTGTGTAGGTTATGTCCAAATACGACACTACTTTATGTAAAATACTTCACCCTCCACCGATTTTAGTATCCAGTGGCAGAAGAGGTTTTGGAAGCAATTCCCTGTGGATTCAGAGGGACGCTGTGTAAATGGTTTTTTCTTTTACCAGGGATCTGTGAGGTGGGGGATCCGGTAACAGCTATCTTGACATACAATTCACCTGTCATACAATTCCCCATTAACACACATAAGGATTGTGTTAATCTGTGGATCAGTTTCAGGAGTACTGTCATCTTAACATAGTAAGTCCTCCAACCTATGGACATGAGGTGCCCTTCCATTCATTTAGATGTTCTTTAATTTCTTTCAGTTATATTCGCGGTTTTCAGTGTACAAGTTTTGCTTTTTTGTTAAATTTATTCCTGAGTATCTTATTTTTCTTGATGCTGTCATAAATGGAATTACTATGTTAATTAAATTTTCAGATTATTCATTGCTAATATATAGAAATACAAATGATTTTTTATATTGATCTCATATCCTGAAACCATGCTGAACTCATTATGAGCTTTATTGTTGGGTTTTTCTCTGGATTCTTTCTGTATGCAAAATCATGTCACCTGCAAATAGAAATCAGTTTACCTCACTCTGGATGTCTTTTATTTTGTCTTCTTGCCTAATTGCCCTGGCTGGAACCTCCATTACAATGTTGAATCGAAGCGGTGAGAGCAGACTTTCTTGGCTTGTATCTAGGGGAAGCCTCCAGTCTTTCACCATTGAGCAGTATGTTAGCTGTGGGTTTTTCGTAGATGCTGTTGATCAGATTCAGGAAGTTCCCTTCTATTCCTAGTTTGTGGGGTCTTTTTTATAAAAAAGAAAGTTGAGTGTTGTCAAATGCTTTTTCTGCATCCGTTGAGACGCCCGTGAGGTTTTTGTCCTCTGTTCTATTAATATGTTGAATTACACAGATTGATTTTTCTGATGTTAAGCCAACTTTGCGTTCGCGAGATAAATCCCACTGGGTCATGACATGTAATCCTTTTTATAGTAATAGAAGAGTTTGGAAGTGTTTCTTCCTCTTCTGTTTTTTGGAAGATTGCTTTGAAGAATTGGTATTAATTGTTCATTAATTTTTTATTTGAGATGGAGTCTCTCTCTGTCACCCAAACTGGAGTACAGTGGATTGATCTCGGCTCACCGCATCCTCCACCTCCCACGTTCAAGTGATTCTCCTGCCTCGTCCTCCTTAGTAGCTGGGATTACAGGCATGTGCCACCACACCCAGATAATTTATGTGTGTGTGTGTGTATTTTTAGTAGAGATGGGGTTTCACCATGTTGGGCAGGCTGGTGTTGGACTCCTGACCTTAGGTGATCCACCCGCCTCAGACTCCCAAAGTGCTGGGATAACAGGTGTGAGCCACCATGTCCGGCTAAATGTTTTGTTTGTTTGTTTGTTTTTCCTGAGACAAGGTCTCACTCTGTCCCCCCGGCTGGAGTGCAGAGGTGCGATCATGGTTCACTGCAGCCTCTACCTCCTGGACTCAAGCAATCCTCCCACTTCAGCCTCTCAAGTAGCTCAGACTGCAGACACACGTCACCATGCCTGGCTAATTTTTTAATTTTTCTGTAGAGACAGGGTCCCTCTATGATGCCCAGACTGGTCTTGAACTCGTAGGCTCAAGTGACCCACTCTTCCTC